ATTTTGAAGGTCTTTTTTTGAAGATTAAATCATTAAATCATTAAATCATTAAATCATTAAATCATTAAATTAATTAATTAATTAATTATGTAATCTATTTGTTTAAAAATAACATTTTTTTCTCACTAAAAAAAATATAATTATAACAATAATAAAATTGAAATTAGAAATGTATCAATATAGAACTAATAATTATCAAGAACGACTACTACTAGAACAAAGAGAAAAGGAACAGCAAGAACAAGGAGAAGATGAAGAATATGGAGAACAACGAAAAAAAGTAGAATCAGAAATAATAGAAACTTATAAACATGGAAAAGAAGCTATTTCAGGAGCATCAGGATTAGCAATAGGCGTAATTGCTTCAACAGGCTCTAAAATTATTGAAACTACTGAAGACACAATTAGTGAAACTAAAGGAGTTATTGGTTATGCGGCACAAAAAGGCAAAGAGGTTGCTACACATCCTATATATTATATGCAAAAATCAACATTTTTCTTTTGGAAAAAATTTCCACCTTTGAGTTGGTTTACTTATGGAGTGATAGCATTAAATGCCATACCTTTAACAATCTTATTGATTTTTCTTTTTATTACAACAAGTATTGTTGTGTTAGTTACTGGCACTGGAATCTTTTTGGCTGAAGGATTTTTCATTGGTGTTGGATCATTTTTCTTGATTCCTGTATTCATTATAATGATTTTTGCATCATTTGTTACTGCTTTTTTCACTATTTTTGGCTGGACTTTTTACAAAGTTGTTAGATATATATTACACACTTTTGACTTAATTGTAGACGATGATACAGCAACATTATCTTTTGATGCTCAACAGATCCTTTCTAAAACTAGTGAAGTTCTCACAGGTGGCAAAGAAAAAAATGGCAGAGTTAGTGAAAAAACGAGTTGTGAATATTATTTTTAAATTTGCAATAATTAATCAGTGCTATTATTTTAACTACACAATATGATATATTAAATACAATCGGTTATAAAAAACAATAAAAATAAATTGCTATCTAAATCTTCTTCTTCTTCGTCAACTTTGATTTTATGATAAATATTTCAAAAACTTGTATATAATTAACTGATTAATCAAAAATAAAAACTTGCGAGGAATCCATACTGCAAAATTTTCTAATAATAATTTGATTCTTGCTGCTGTTGATGATATTTATCATTAATAATATACAAATTTTACTAAACCATCTTCATTATTGTTGATGCTATCAAACGTTGGATTATTTACGAACCAGTATTACTCTTTATAACTAACTATTACCTTTTCTAGAATCAAGTCATTGAGTTTTTAAATCGTGTGCTTTTAAAGCTATCAAACTAATGTTAGATGAATCAACATTTGTGGTATTAGCACACCAAAGATCCACAATTGTTGCTTTTTACCAAAGTACTTTGTTTTAAATGAAAATAAAAATAAAAAGTTTATTTAAAAATAAATATTTTCGATTTTAATTGAATCATTTATTTGTTCTCCTCTGCCTTTTCAAACGATGACTTGTCTATCCCAATTGCCAATTTTTAATAAGTTGGTTGTATGTAATGTCTACTTGTTTTTATGGAAAACCAAAATATTTCTGTTCAAATTTCAATTTTTTTATTATTTAACAAATTTCAAGCCAGCGCAATAAAAAAAAAAAAACGACTCATCACAAGGTTTTACCTTTTGATTTTGATCTCATCCTTCCCCAAAAATTCAGTTTACTAAAGTTAAGAAACAGGAAGTTTAGAATATTCGTGCTGATTCGTATTGTAACTGAACTGAACTGAATATTCTTTACAAATGAATTATTTCCCGTGAAACCAAACATTTCAAAATTGGGTAAAGTCGTTGGATTAGGGAAACATACAAAAATAAGAAAATATAAAAATCTACAACATTTAGTAACACGGAAACCTTTTCTTCTTTAATTAAATTAATAAATTAATTATCAAAAGAGTAATTGCATCAACTGAATCAAGCTTCCATTATCTTAATTCCAATATGTATTTTCTTTATAATTTGCATTATTTCTTGATTTAAAAGCAGTATATAAATATGAAAATAGGAATTCAATTTTTAAAACAAAATATTTGTTTCAATATGGATCAATTATAAATGGACTTTTAGCGCCATGTGGTAAGCCAGTCGGTCTTATGGCTCCAACACCTTCTTTTGTCTTTGTCTTTTTGTGGTATATGCGGTTGGAGTGGTATTAAATCTGTCAGATCCATATATGATGGGTGAACTTATTGGAAATATGGTCTAGCTGAAGTTGCTTGACTTTTTTCTAGTTTAATCTGTGATAAAGATTGATACATATTAAATTGTATTATGCAATGCATCAGTATAATATTTTTATTTCAAGACATTAAAATCTTTAATACTTCCTGTACCACAACTACATCATTGGAAAATTGTTGCTCGTAACTTATAAAAATTTTTTCAGGTAATAAAATTTATTTCAATTTATAATAATAATTTAACTGTGAACCAATTTATTTGATTATAAATTTAAATACATATTTATAATAAATTTAACTGCGAACCGATTTATTTAAAACAATTGGATATAAAGATATACATTCCAATGCTCCAAGAACCCGATCAGCACAAGCAAATGTCCACAACAAATTTAAATACTCGTATAATTTGTCATGATCATTAAATAATACTGGAACGGTGACTTTCGTCATGCGTTCAAATAAGAAAATTCCAACTGAAACCATCATCATTGATCATAGCTCCATACGATCCTCTTTATAGATAAATATATTATGTTAATTAATGTAGGTCAAATAATAATAATAACTAGCCAACGCCTTACCAAATGTATGTAAAAAAAATACTTTAATCGAACAGAAAAGAGAAGGATTTGCTTTAGGATATTTATATGCTAATTCACCTAACATATACAAACAACCAATGAATCCTTTTATTATTTCTCAATTGTATAATATCACCAACTCTAACATCTTGCCAACGACTATCTATCCATTTTGCACCATAAATTGATGGATATTTCCATTTGACTTGCATAATTCTTATTATTATTTTCATTATTTTTATTTTTCTGTGAACCATTCAATATACCACGTAAAAATTTAAAACGTTTACCATCACTTCGAGGTACATTAACATTACGCCAATTGTATAATTTGGTTGTTCTTGATTTGTTAAGTGTATTATCTTGGGAGTGACGTTTCCAGTCTTCAAAAGCATCTTTAATTGCAGTCATAATTGTGATGGAGAAGGAGAAACACCATTACCAATAAGTGGAAAAAGTTGTAATATGACCAAAAAAAGGAAATATATATTTGCCACTCTACGAAATTGTTCAAATATATTTTTTGGTAGAAAATTTAAAAGGGTATATTTTGAGGTACGTATTTTGTTTGGTACAAAAGATATTTTAGGTTCACCATACTGATTAATTTCTTCTGTTGGTAATGGCATGTTGACATAAACTCGACGTTTTTGTGATTGTTGTAAATTTGAGGTTGACAATTGTCTTTTATGACCTATTTTAGTTTGCCGTTACTACCACCACTACCGCCATAATGATTATGATGATACATTGTAGACAAGATCACAGGTGAAGGTAATAATAGTAAAGGAGATTCTGAATCAGTTGAAGGATCTCTCGTATGAACAGCTATTGTTTCGATTGATTCTTTTGGTGGAAGTGGATTATTTGTCATTTTCGGCCTCGCTATTCTCTTATCTTGATTAGAAAATGTTATATTTGCCATTTTTTTTTTTAAAGAAAAGAAAAATTTCACTCGATCTGATAAAAAAACATGCAATTGTATTAAATTTTTCTGGCCTAAAATTAAAAGTTTTTTAAGTATTTACAAAAGAAAATACAAAAATATCTCTAATGTTTAAATTAGACTAACATTAGTGAATGCTCTGCTTCGGAACTGGCTTTATAGAGAACTTCTTTTCCAGAATGCCAGAAGGCCATATCCATTTATCCCAATTATGAGTTTCTTTAGCATGGATTTCTGCTTCAGTTTCATCTGTTTCCAATACAGAAGCATTCAGAATTTCTTGATCATCAAAATAAGATCCAGTTAACCCGCAATAAATTCAACAAAAAATTTATTAGATAATTAATTTTCATTATAAAAAAATTTTTTTAATCTTGTCTATTATATTTGGAGGGAACGAAGAGCATAGATAGTGGTGGTGAAGGAAAGAGTTGTTGCAACAGTGAGGAGGATGATTGTGGTAATAAGTAGGATGATGTGATTTCGAAACTTTCCCCCACTACTTAATTGATATTATTCACCTTATTCAGAATTGGAATTCTTGAAGGTTTAGGTTCAAGAGCATCGCTTCTAATTACATCAAGAAATTAAATATTGAGCTAGAGTGACGGCAAGTGGCAAGTGATAACCACCACCATCCTTAAAATACTTACCCAAAATATTTGTCACAACCGGTTTCTTTTTGTCTCTTGAGGCATTATTTTTTAAAAAAATGATATTCTTATTATTGGTATACTATTTTAAAGTCCTAGTCATGAAGTCAAAAAAAAACTACCGCCTAACAAGATATTAAAGGCATTAGGTAAACAAAATTCATGCAACATATATTAATATGAGTTTGATGAAAAAAAAATTTTTTCACAAGTTTGTGAAACTATCAATCTAACAGATAATAATAATAATGTCAAAAATAAATAGTTGAAATAGAGAAAATATCCTATCCACAAAAATTTTGGATAGTAATAATTCACATTATACAACTCTTAAAAAATTTTTAGAACCAAGCTTATCATCGTCATCTTACCTATATAGTGCTAGTTGGCACGTGATTGTTTTTATTGTATAATATTGATCTACATTCAATGGCAAATGATTTTACAAATTCCCTTGGATAAATCAGATTCATCCTAAATACTAAAATTATATATAATCAATTCCCCCAAAAATTTTGCACCTAAAATATTTTACATATATAATAAAATAACAATTCATAAGCAAAAAAAACAAATTTATTCTTTAATATATTTCTTTAATTTTTTCAATGCTGTAGCAGCTTGATCTAAAGTTTCATCAGTTTTACAAAAAGCAAATCTAGCATAATCGTAAGCCATCCATTTATTCTCATCACAATAAAACTCGCTAGGCGGAATTGTCACAACACCGATTTCTTTTGCCATCCAATAACAAACTTTATAATCTTTTGTCCTGGATTGTATGACTTCTGGGTATTCAAAGTCTGATGGGATGTTGATTTTTGAGGTGTTGGCTAGTATGAAATAACTTCCTTGTGGTATTGTATATGGTAATCCAGCATCAGATAGTGCATTCATTAATTTTTCACGACGTAATTTATATTGTTCACAATTTTCTTCATAATAATTTGACTCGTCAGCTTTTTCTAAAGAAATAGCCAGTGCTTCCTTTTTTTTTAAAAAAGATATTATTGTTAATGTTATTATTAATTACTTATTTATTTAATAAAATAAGTTTTATTTTTTAAAAAAATAGATTCAATAATATACCTGAAGTGGTGAATTTACACAAAATACAATTCTAGTATGTGCAGATAATACAGTCTTTATCAATTTTTCTGGTCCTATCGACCATCCAACACGCCAACCAGTAACACCGAAAGTTTTACCTCCACTTCCAACAGTTATTGTGCGATCCCACATTCCTGGAAGATTGGCAATGCGTTCATGAACATCTGGTTTAAAATAAAGTCTATCATACTATAAATTAAAATTGTCAATTTTTATAAATTATCATTATTAATAATGTGTGTGTGTGTGTGTGTGTAAATGTACATATTATTAAATTTATTTATTTCAATAATTACCACTTCATCACTAATAACCAACAAATTATGTTTTTGAGCAATTTTAGCAATTTCCATCATTTCATCAATAGAAAAAACTTTTCCAACAGGATTATGAGGAGTATTAAAAACAATCATTTTACTTTTTTTTGTGATTTTTGATTCCAATTCATTAAAATCCAATTTCCAATCTGCTGAAGAAATCACCTTATTAATGATGTCACCTTGCGGTCTTAATGGCACATAGACTGGTACGCCACCATTCATTGTAATATTTGACTTAATAATAATATATATATGTGATTACATTTAGTAAAATATATGCATACAGTATACATACGAATACAAAATAAATAAATACATATATTCTTACAATATATTGATCAAAAAAAGGTTCAATCAAAATTACTTCATCACCTTCATCCAAAAATCCTGCAAAAATAGAATAAAGTCCTTCATTTGCGCCAGCAGAAATTACAATTTCAGTCTCGGGATCCAATGTTCTGTTGTTTAATAAAGGCCCATAAGTATTTGCTAATGCTTGCCTTAAACGAATTCTACCTTTAGGATGACTTTTTTTTAAAAAGAAAAATTGATGATTATGTAATTGTGAATATATATGATTATAATTATAATGTTCAGATAGATAATGTATTAGAAAAAATTAACCTATATTGATTACTATCTTGATAAAGTAAAACATCTTTAGCCGCTTCCTTTACAAAATCTGGAGGTGGAAAACTTGTAAATATACATATATATGTGTTTAAATAAAATTACTTGATAATTAAAAACAAATTGATAGCGCATATAATTTCATTTACTTCATAAAACCTTGTCCCAAGTTTACAGCATTAAGTCTTGCAGCCAAGGGTGTGAAAATAGACCATACTTATCATCACACAGTAATTATAGCAATTACAATAATGAATGATTTGTTAATAAAAAAATTTTATCAATCAATTTAAGTAAAATAATTTATTTTTTTAAAAGAAAATAAAAAATCACCATCTTGTTTAAAATGAGAAACTTTTTCTGATACTTTAATTGAAGTTCCATCAGAAGTACTACTATTACTAGTCATGTTTTGTTTGTTTTTTAAAGAAAAAGATAGTTTGATGTTGTTGCCGCAGATTCTATTATTATGGTAATGACGAAATTGATTAAAAGGGGAGAAAAACTTTATATTTTTTCTTTGAAATCTATGCATTTTTGAATCATTATTTGTGTTACGTATGCCATGCAATCTATAAAAACAAGTAAAAACTTGCTTGCATTAGCATTAGACAAGATAATACTAACGCATGTTCTTATAATGATCCGGGAACTTAAAAAAATCTTTGATATTAATATTATTGCATTTTTGAACGAATCACGAAATCGCAATTTTTTGAAATTTAAGCACGTGGCGCAGCAATATGGGTCTTTAGACCGAGCCAACCATATTAATAATATATTAACATTAAAAATATCTGTATTCGTGTATATTTTATTTTGGTATTTCGTATTATTATTATATATTTGGAAGGTATTAACGAAAATAATCCCAAATGGGATAATTCGCCCAGGCTGGGATATTAATTAATTAAACATGATATAAGGAACAAGAATTCGCTGTACTTTAAAAGTGACTTTGTAATAAGTTAACTTAATAGTATGTTTTCGTGTAATTGATACACTTTGGGTTCTCTGAAAATTTTGCTGTAATGTACCATTGATTTAATAAAATCTATTTGAATCTACTAAAACAATTAAACAAAGGATAAATTTGTTATTTATCAAAAAAAAGAAATAAAAGATTTGGACTGAGATTGATGTATCAAAAAAATGCAACATTAAAAATCATTAAACTTTATACATTAAATATGCTATTTAAATTGACTATTACTTGTGTGATCAATTCCATAAAGGAACAAATTCAATTATTTCGCAATAAAAGCTATTTGTTTGTTTATTTATTGTTGTTTTTTTGATTTTAGTATTAATGCATGGTTTCTATTCGTAATACGGTCAGAACTCGTTAAACCGAAGTCAATATTTTCGAAAAAAAACTTCGATTTAAAAAACCTTAATAAAATCGGCTTATTGAGGTAAATTTAATATAAAACAACATCGGTTTATCAAAGCATTGTCTTAACGAGTTCTAAATGTACGTTTTATTCGATTTTATTCGTTTTATTCGTTTATTCATTATTATTATTCGTTTTATTCGCTTTATTCGTTTTATTTGCTTTTATTCATTTTATTTGCTTTTATTCATTTTAATTGCTTTATTTGCATTATTCGTTTTATTCAGATTATGATATTATTTTAGCACAAAGAGCTTTAGAAATATTTAACCAATAATTTAATTACATTTAATTAAGCCAATAATTAATTAAAAAATAGTATTAATTTTAGAAGAATATCTGATAAATATCGGCACTTTCAACATTTATTAATAGGCTTTTAGAATATATGATAAAAATACTAAGAATATTATTAACTTATTGGTATGCCAATATCTTTAAAGAATAATCATATTCTGATATTTACTGATATCCCATTACCCAATTTGACATCATTCAACCAATAAAGAGAGAACCAATAGATTATATATAAGCAAAGGACTCTAAATTAGCACAAAAGAATTTTAAATCATGCACAAACATAACAGCTTGATAGCTTGATTGACACAGTGGTGCAGCCTTGCAATTTTTTTATTACATATTTTAAATACAATTAATCATATGTCTTTAATAAAACAAACATGACTTAGCTATTTAATCATTTCCTTCATTTTCTTGTATGTGAATGCCTCCATCCATCAAATATTCATGATAGTCATGATTATTATTCAATACATTTGATATCATCATTAACATAACAAACAATTGCATCACCCAAGTAGTAATAATACCAAGGCTATGCAAAAATGAAACTTTTAATAATGTCTACCCAGATCTCTGGGATTCGCAAAATAAATTATTTTTCCTGATTATCAATTATGGATCCTTATGAATAATAAATCTGATGTTGATTTCAGGTGTCAGATTTAATTAAAATTTCCTATCACAAACATGCAAATACCCTCTATAACCATGGGATTTTTTCCTATGGGTAAAGTCCATCACATGCTGGAAGGCTTTGGACAAAACATTCCCTATCTCCCTCTCAGACCAGATTGGTTGTTACCATATGTGCATTGATTGCTGATAAGAGTTGACATTTGTGTGATGATTGCTTTGTGACATCCCAACCTGTAGAACAAAGTTGGTGTCTGCAACTCAGGAGATTGCAACTTGGGTTGTTGTTTTGGATTTTCCCTGAATTCAGAGTTTTGAGTCCTGAGTTAACAACCCTACCCCATTTAAATAACAAGTTCAGTTGGTCAAACAAAAATTAAAGAAAAACAGAGTATTTATGGGAATGTTTAATTTAAACAAAACATACCAAAATCCAAACCATTTTTCTTGTTGGCCATATTGCTGACAAAGATATATATAATCATGCAATAATTTTAATCTATACATACCCAAAATTATAAATTGATTAGTATCAAAAAAACAGAGCATTTGGGAAAATGATTATACAAACCTATTTTACAACTTTCCTCTTAACATCAGAGTCCAAATGCAATTTCAGAGCCATAAACCCTGCTCTGAATTGTAATTGGAATGAGTTGCAGATTCTCATTTCTTTGATGATCTGGATGTTTATGTGCACCTAATATCACAACTCTTCAAAATGCTGCAGAGTTGCAACTTGGACACAGTGTCAGCCTTACCCTAGAGTAGGATCATTGCAGGCGACTTTTCAGCTAGTGTGCCAGCAGCCTTCTCTGGTCTGGGAAGATTAGTGAAAACATCATTGATGATTGATGCAGTCTTGATAAACTCCAGGGCCAAACATCCCTCCCCGGGAATTTAACAGCATCATTGTATCATCGAGGGTGACTCGGTCAGATTAGCCTTATGTACATGAGGAATATGTGAGTATGACTGTAAAAGTAGCATGCATGCTTCAACATCTATAAAATTTCCAATAATCAAACATTGCATATTTGAAATGTCTCTTCTATAACAGTCAGTTATGCTGCCTTTACATCTTGTGATTGTAATATTATAATATTATTATTAATAATGATTATGAAAAGCAAAATACCAAACATTTTGATGAGATTCTTATACCCAGCAAGATCTGCTCCGCATTTTGATTTCAATTAAAATGTTTATAAACTAAATATATATATCAATACAAATAAAAAATAGTACCTAGTTAGTTATTAACATAACTTCTTTAGGAGATTCGCGTTTTGTCATCTTGGACTCTGTCAAAAAATAAATTGTTTCCAAGAAATAAAAAACCCAATTCGCGTCTGTCCCTCCTTCCCAAAAAAAAAATCACGTCAACAAAAAAAAACCAAATCTTTGTGCAACACCAAGTGTAGAAAAAAAATAAATAAAAAAATTATGATCCTCCTTATTGGCTGGAATGTATTAGTTATTGAGAGCGCATTTGGAAGACCAACTTCCAAATCTTCCAATGAAATACACACTGGCTAGATGTGCCACAAGAATCCAAACTTTTTTTCCATTCAACAAGATATTACTATAAATAATTTATAATAATAATAATAACTAGATAAATAAATATACTATGGCACTGAATAATAAAAGTAAATTTGTTTTTTGATTATTATTATTATTCAAAGAAAATTTAAGCACATAATTTTCACAAGGATAATGGATTCACCACCAACACCAACACCAATAAAACCACAAAACAAAATTAAAATAACAAACAACAAAAACAACAACGGTTATCAAGAAAAGAACAATTAAAAATTATTCCAACTTCTAAAGAAGATAATAATCAGAACAAATAATAATAGCCCGTCCCCCAGTTTTGTCAAAGAAGAAGTTCCGAGCATGGGAGAATTATGGAATATGTCAAAAAAAGAAGGAAAAAGCTTGAAAAAAAAAATATCAAAGTTAAACCACCAGAACAACAACAATACGTTACTAATGATAAGGATGTTAATAAATCATCTCTTGATGAATTAGCTAGTCTTGATTATGATGAAGAATTTCCAAGCGTGGAGGAATTACAAATAACTAGAGTTATTGGTGTTCATAGGACATGGGTAAATAATTGACTTTTTCTGTTTTCATTTAGGAGACATCATCAAAATGGATTCAATGATTTATTATTGGACGTTTTACTTATTTGTATTGTTTTTACTGGATTATGAAAGTATTGAAAATAATATAAAAATAAAAGGAGGTTTTTATTTTTGAGTATTATTTTGATAATTATGCAATAAACGAATTATTTACTCTGATAAACGCGTGCAAGTTTGACATTTTATTTTAATCATCTCGAGGAGTAACACATTGTGCAGCTGGCATTATGACAGGCTAATGTAAATTTTATAATCGTTGGGTGGCAACCCTTTGGTATATTAGTTGATATTATTTTTTCCAGCCGGTTGATCTAGTCCTTTAAAGAATGCGAACATCTGACAAATTGTCACCATCA